TCAGATCCTACTTGATGTTCTCTTCCTCCTCAGTATATCTTTTCACATCAAAATCCATTCTATCAGGAAATAAAAAAGCATATCAGAAATGAAATAGAGGGGCAGTGAAGAAGTTGAACCCTGTAAAGGTTTAATCTCATCAAACATGTACTGGTTAATAAACAGCATAAGGAAGGCTGAGAAATATCAAAAAAGAAGTGACACAAAGTGAAAGAAAGTTTAGCAGTCCATGAAATCCGTGTATTTAAACAGATTTTTATAGTGATCAGAGAAATGGGAAAGGACGATCTTATTACACTCATCAAGTCCCAAAGGCCAAGGCAGATGTATCCATCAGGTTGTAATTTCTGACCATCAAACTTTGCTTGAATAAAATCCTGCATGTGACCTTCATACACATTGCTGCCCTACAAACCTCTGTTGCTCTACAGCTGAATCCCATTTAGTTATGACTCACTGCCTTATTTACTTCACTGATCACTATAAGCTTTCAAAAGCCATTACGAAGGCTTGAGTTGGTGTCTGTAAGCATACTCTGGTGACTACCCTGAATGACAAAAAGGTTGGGTTAGGAAAAAAAAGGAAAAATAAGCCTCACACATATGTGATTGCAATAGGAAAACATGCTCAACAAAGTTAATTTCAAACGGCTTCAGTCAAACCTATTTGTCATGTGTTACAGGTAACCTATAGAACATTGGATTATTATAAAGTTATCATTCAAGATAAGTAACACATGATATCGTCAAAAGAAGATAAGAAAAGAGTTGGGAGAAAGGAGTAAGATTAAAAAACCCACCAGCTCTACATGAAAATAAAATGTTTGCCATGAAGTTAAAACATTGCCAATGGATCTCCAAGGACAACACACATCTTTGGCTGAGCTCTGACTACTTTGCAGATGCTGTGGATGCCTCAATCACTGCAAACTCCTGCAGAGTTTGCTCCATAACTCTTGGTGTGCAAGTGGAAATGGCAGCACGAAGGCTGAGGAAATGTGCTGCTCAAGGACATGTATCAGCACAAGCCAAAGCATTACATCTGGTCCAAGCTACCAAAGCCACCTCCCTTCCCCTGCCACAAAAATGCAAAGGCCATCACACATTTTCCATCAGCCATTCAGATACTGCATGGTTGTACTACTAATTTTAAATTAGGGACTGGAGTAAACAGCAGGCTCTGAACCATAAAATTAAAGCTTTAATTATTAGTGTATTGAAGTAAGCACCAGCATAATAAAATTAGGAGAAAGATAAGAGAATAGAGTGATTTTCTGACAAATGAGAAAATAAGTGTTGTATTCATTTCAACCAAGTTTCCCAGTGAAAGAAAAAAGAGTTCACTGAAAAGAAATAGAGAAGTATGTCTTTCATATGTATACAAACAATAACTACAGTTTAAGTATATGTAGAACTCAAATCCTTTTGAAGGCCTGTCCCACCCCTATTTAAATACTGCTGTAAATTGGAGTCTCACTGGAACGGAGGTAAAGATTATACTAATATATATTATTAGCAGCAGTATGGATCTGGGTCATAATTCCTTGTTTCATAGTGCCAAATCACTGCCTAGCTGCCATACAGCACCTGACTATCCCTACTTTTTTTAATGTCTATACACAAAGAAAACTTAAGTTTCTGCTTTTTCTTTGTGGTACCCGACATGGACACAGCACAAAAAAGCCAAATCACAATATTCTCCCTCTCTCAATCACACAAGCACACAAACATTTTGAGACACCGCACAGAAGAGTACCATAAATATTGTGAAGCATTTTTTATTGAAGAAAGAAGGAAAGAAAGAGAGAAGCAACTTGCCATGTTGGACATTTCCACAGGTATCACTGTAACAAATCTCAGTGACTGGGCTGCAGCTTCCACAAGGGTATGGGATGAAGCACACTTGCTGCTGGCCCTTTCTGTGGCCAACAGAAGGGAAGACTAATTTTCCTAACTTAAAGAACTTCACCTCCTGTTTCTGTGCACTAGAACATAAATGATCCCTGAGGGCACTTCCAGTGATATTATGGGGCATGTCATTCACAGGTCTTCCAGGATAAAACCACTCAGCTTTGCTGTAGTATCATCCCCCCCAATCAGAGCTGTTAAAGAGATGCCTTAAGGTACAAGTGGAAGACATTTAAGGGCACTGTAATAATTTATAAAAACAGATTCAGAGGGAAGAACACAGTATTCCACAGCTGGCAATCCTCTCAAATTATTTATCTTTACATCCCAAAATCATTATGAAGTGTCTGAGTATTCCTGTTTACATTGTTTGGGAGTTACTTGCCAATCTCAATAATAAAGTTAAATAAAAGATTTTATGCAGGTTGTCCATTACTGCATCATTATGAAAATAACTCTGTACCTAATGTCTTGTTTCATAACGTCTTTGCTCATGACTTGTTGGATTTCTGAAATTCACAGTCCTAGGCAAATTCTTTATCCTTCTCTATTGACTGAAAAGGGCAGTCAAAAGACAAATTTAGACCAATTTTAGACCAATTTTAAGCTATTATTATTAATCTAATGCTTTAAATAAGCATTTTACCAAGCATTAAAAGTTGGGCATTTTAAAGGCTCTTCTGTAGTTTATACAATGAGAAAAATCCCAAAACTTTAAAAAACTCCATATATTACGGCGTAAAACAAAGCAAACTTCAAGCAGTTTATATAAAAATAATTAAAACAAGCAAATAGTAAATTAAAGGAATAGTATATTTTTTGAGCATTTAGGCTGTGCTTGATAGGAGAGGCCACAGACCTCAGACTCAGTGGCGTTATGATTCCAAGGAAAGGGACATGCTTGCATGAAGAAGGCAAGTTTGAGAATACTGAACGTCACACACTGAAAAATATGAGATCTGGTCTTGTTCTAGTATTTCTTTTACAAATAAAAGACCAGAACAGCCTGAATGTTTAAATGAACACTTTTTTCCTGGTGTTTAGTTCAATGCATTTATGCTAAGCATTTGTCCCAGTTATAAACCATGTCAATATGCCACTTTTGCCAATATGTGGCAAAAGTTAGAGCGGTCCCCCTTCACTGCTACTAACATGTATAAGAAACACAATTAAGAACAGGGGATGAGTGATATAGAGATACAGAGAAAAGAAGGCAGGCAAGAAGCTGGTGCAAAGTAATTGAATTATTACACTGGAGCTTCTGCCTGTGCTCAGTTAAAACAAAACATATTGGCTGTGGTAAAATATTTTTACAAGCAAAACGTCATCAATACATACATGACAAAGATTAAAACCTTTGGAATAATCCAAGTGAAGAACAAAAAAAATACAGGGGCTCTTAAAAAATAGGGAATATGCTATTTCCTAGGCATGTAGCTGTATTTGACCATGCATTTACAAGAAATAGTTTTTACTGGAAAATATTGAACTCATCAATACCATAGCAGACCTTTCACTCCCCCACCAGATGATAATGAAATTTATGTCAAATCTGCTCCATCCACATTTCAGATGTTGACTACACTTTCAACAAGAACAAACACAACTTTTGCATAAAATAATAACTGACTATTGAAATACTGGATTATTAACTCCTTTGATAGTTCTACTTTACTAGGCATTCCTAGTTTCTGTAAGTCACAAATAAGATACTTAAAACATAATTTTGTATAATAGTTTGTAACTACTCCACCACAACGATACAAGAAATAGATAACTAAGTTTCAGAGTTAATTAATGCTAAGCACAGAGCATCAGCTAGCATTAGCCATCCCAGATTTAAAAAAAAAAAGCTCAAATACCAACAATGTAGAAGCCATCTTAAAAAGGCTGAGTTCAGTCATTTTCCCCTCTGAATTCTAAAAGTATCCAGTAGTTCCAGTTTCTGTGTTATCCTTTTCAGATTGAAAGAGACGAAATTGATTCTAATTGGAATACTCTCAAAATCATGTCTTTTACTGCTTCAGCCATATCAAGCAGAGACTGCAATGCTTCTCATTACACAGATCTATCTACTTGCAAAATTTAACAGCACAAAAAATACTAAATCATTAAATTCTCAAAAATTAAGAACGTCATTGGTAAAAAAAACCAAAATAAGTATTAAAGACTTTTTCATTAGCATTGCCTTGACAATAATCCATTGATGCCAAACCTTTGATTTCACAAATATTGGAACAACTAATTGCATATTTCCCTTAAATCAAGTGTCTATACAGAGCTAGAAAATCATCAAAATTTAGTTTTGTTGTTAAGAAAAGTTTAGTAATATAACTGAAATAAATAACTTTGGCATCTCAGAGAGAAGTTACTGTTCCAGAACAGCAAAGAAATAACAAAAGCTTAAACCCCAAATTTGAATCCATATTTCTGACGCCTTGTACCAGCGGTCTTTCCAGAGAACTGCTCAGTCACACCAGTGATTTACTAATCCAGCTCAGAGGGGTTTCAAATATCATTTTCTCTTATCATCCTGCCACTATCACAGGAGCCTAAAGCAATGTCGTCACCCCTTGTCCAGTAATTGTGGAATGACACAGAGGACAGGCTGAGAACAGCATCATGTATTGGGCTCAGGCAACTTTCTGAATCTTCAGGTTAACTCCCCTCTTTAAAACAGGTAACCTTCTCAGGTGGGTGGGATGAAAAGGTTATCCATGCAACAACCTTTGTTTCCCAACAAATTTTCATTAGCTGCACAAAATTAAACCAAAAATAGTAGGAAATAGTCATCATTTTGACAGTAACTTCCAAACAGCCTGGAAAAGGGGAAAGGAGTAGGCAAAGTGTGTCTGACTTCTTCATCACATTTCAACAACCTATACACAGAAAATGGATAAAAGCTTACTTTATAGCTATAAGTCACTAGGACCAACAGAAACCAAAGCAGCAAAATTAAATACACTATTTGATATTTCGTATAAAAAGAAGTCAACAAAAACAACAAATTCCCATAAGGATGGGAGACTATCAAGGTAATATTTTGCATGTCACAGAAGAAACAACAAGAGGAAATCTTTCTAGCTGTCCTACCTTCTTGAACTGCCTGGAAAGGATTGTTGCCATCCACAAATGTCACTGAACATGTGATTTTCTCTGTTTGTAAGATTTCGTCATTCTGGTTGAGATCAGCTACTGCCATTCGAAAAACTTCCTCATCTTTTTTGGCAGATTCATCAAAAATTGCCCCTGTGGAGGAAAGAAAGAACAAAAATCACATTGCACCTTTCATCTGCAGTATCCCAAAGCATTAATCATAAGCACTTAAGACTCTTCTTTGCTAGAACATCATCTCTTCCTCATCTTTAAAAGAAGTTTCTCTCTATACAGAGCCCAGAAGTTGTTTCACAATATACAGAATTTTTTTACATTCTGACATCATTTAAGACGTATATTGAAAGGAAGCATTGATGCCAGTCAGAAATATTGGGGAAAACTAGCTAGGCACAAAGCAAATGATCTGCATAAGAACATGGCTCTGAAACGAGAATTGAGTTTCTTCCAAAGGTGCCACTTAATATATTGAATGACTGCAGTGGGCTAGGATCTACATTTACCATCATGTCTACTGATGATTAAAAAATAGCAAGTTCAAACAGAGAATAAGCCTAAAAAAGTAGCACCACTGGGAAAAGGAGGTAGAATTGACACCCACAATCAATGGACAGGTCAGGAGCCAATATAAATTATTTCAAGTGTAATACCTCTAGGATTTGCAAAAAAACAATTCCAGCTAATTGTCAGAATCTTGAAGTCGATAAGTTGAATTTAAATGGTTAATTAAAATAAGTACTGCCTATATAAATCTCACAGAAAGTGAATGTTCTGCCTATTTCTTCAAAAACATTTCAGCAGAACGCTATAAACAGGCAACCAACAAACTCAAGAGGAGCTCGCAGAGTCAGAGTGCCCAACTCTCATTTAGCCAATTCTTCAGGTATATTGAAAAAGAACTCTAAAATTAATCCAGAGGTTTTAAACTTTTTTTTTTCTTTAAACTGTAGCATCCATTTTAGCATCACTGATTTCCTATCATTTTACACTTGCTTTTTGTATTAACTATTTATCCAGAGATGGCTCAGAAAGTCCTATGACAAATGCTATATTGTTTGAAACCCTAAAATCAAGGCTATTGGATTTTCAAGCACCTTTACAGCTTTCAATCTCAGGCAGTAGATTACAGGCGCAGAAGGGCTGCTTTAAAAGCAGACTTTTGAAAACTGTATTTATTTATTCTTGAGTGTCTGTTGTCAGTACAGAACTCAGCTAAGGCAGCAAATGTGTCAAGGCAAACAAAGACAAGAGAAAATGCTGATCACTGAAGGCTGCAGGTAAGCACCTGCAATCAGAACTGGAAAGAACTGAAAACTATTCATTTAGAGGAAATGGCTACTTGAAGACAAATAAACTTCATACACAGTGTTTGCTGTGTTTTTCCCACTGACCTCTGACACTCATCTCGCTGCCAGCACCACTCATCCTTCATGAGCACCATCTCTTCCTACAGTCTGACCGCTTTGACTCCAGCATTTTCCCTCCTGAAGCTCCTACCATCTGGAACAGCTGTTCTTTACCTCTCCACCTCATTCACCTGTCATCTCTGTGCAAATCTCAGTTGAAAACATCCATTTTTCCCCTTGCCCCCATTCCAATTTCCCTAGTTTTATTTAACTCCATAAAGCAAAGCTACACAAGGCCAAGAACACGTTCGGTATGCAAAATGTTACAAACCCTGTCTTCTCCACAAAGAAGCTATTTGTGGATACATGCAGCATTTAAGGGGACAAAAAACTGTCTAAGACACATCTTCAAACATGTTTCTTGCCTCATGGAACTGAAACCATACCCACACAGGCTTCACTTGGGGAATACATGCATACTGATAATAATGACACAGCCCTGCAAATACTCGAAGGAATGCTTCTACATGGCTACTTAGTACCAAGGGTAAAATTAAGGGGGGAAAAAAGAATTAGAAAATAATTATAGTAATTAGTCAAATTCTATCCCTGGAGAGTAACTCTGCCACAAATGCTATACTGTAAAGTGAACATACACAGATTTCATGCGCACACAGGGCAGATGTTGACTGTGTTGCAGAACAGCGTGGCAAAACAAAGATCTTCCAGCCAACACTATGAAGTACAGACTCTTACTCAACAGATGGGAAATATCATGTTAAGCCTGGCTTGGTCCCCAAAAACACCCAGGTCATTTATTGAGTAGAGGATAGAGCAAAGTCCCAGGTAACTAGGTTTCTTTTCTACGTGCCATCATAAAACGCCCCTTTGGCACCTTAGCCCTTCCACTGGGCAGCTGAGGGCTGCTGCCAAGATAATCCTGGACTGGTGAAACCATCCAGGTTCTCAACAGGCAAACCTTCTTTACAGTCTTGTCCTTCTTTCACACACACAGGTATTCCTAATAAACTCCTATGCTTTTTTCCAGTTTCTCAGCCTGCAAGAAACCATACCTCTGGCAGCACCCAAATGAATAAGGGACTGGGTTAGATCAAACTCCATGCTGTTTTCACAAATGCTGCTCTTTCTCACTTGAGTACAACGCCTCCACTTTTGCTCTGACCTCTGCTTATGTTTCTATGGCTCCATATTTCAGAAAATTTTTGGTTCCATATTTCAGAAATTTCAAAATTTCTCCTATCACAGACACTGTATCTGACATTTTAAAGAAACTACCTCACAGAAACAACATCACACATGTTCTAGTGTAGGAGTATCTCCATAAGTAAAACACATAGATAAATAGTTGAATTTCCAAAAAAAAGTTCTAAACAAAGTTCGTGTCACAGCATCCAAGCATGAATTCAGTTCTTTTCCTTTAGAAACTCAGGCCTTATTCATTAAAGTACCTAACTTCCCTACACAGAAAGCTTTTTAAGATATAATAAAGATTGCAGTGTTCCTTTCAGGAGATGGCAGTGCACAGCAGCACATGCATTACACTTTCAAATAGCAATAAGAGAAATTTTATTACTTAATTGATTCTCAAAATTTAATTTCAGTTGTTATATAAAATTGAAAACCTAAAAAGAAAACACAGTCAAGCCACAAAACCCCTGAATAATTTTAAAATTGTTACTATTCCCATATACACATAATTTTATGTCCCTGTTTCAGCTGTTCTTCATGTGTCTATGTATCTGTCTATATTACAGATGGGGGTGGAAAAGATATTACTTTTGCTTGTTTTTTAAAAGAAAAGCCATTTCAATGAAAATATGGAAAGGCTTGTTTGGACAGTGCTGGTAGATTCTCCTTTCACTGTCATTTCAGGAATCATCTTCTAGTTTACAGGACTGATCTTTCTGATGTGAAAGAAGTATATAAAATTTTTTACCTCTAATTCAATATGCAACACTTAACTCAAGGTTAACTTTAACTTAAACCTTACATATGAAATATGATATTTGCTTGCCAAGGCCTGAAGTTTTATGTGTATTTTTCAAAATATTGTCATTAAGCCAAGCCAAGCAACACAAATGAACAAATAAAGGTTATCAGACTTTAAAATTACTTCCCTAGTGAGACCTACATGCTCTCTCATTTCTCCATCTAGAGCTGGAAATGAGAGAACTGGGATGACCACAAACTTACTTGGAGTACATGAACCCTTTTGGCCATACGAAATATTGTTACAGAAAGTAATAACAGCTGTGGAGGAGAAGAAAATTATTTCTATAGATACTGTAAGGCACTCACTCTAGAAAAATAATGCAACAACACTATTCATAAAGGGAGAAAGTCTTCAAAACTAGACAAAAGTAATGTTGTTCTTTTCCCTTCCAGCCCCACTGCTCATCTCAGCTGGAAGGGGCCTCACACTGAACATGTCATTTCTAACTGTGCTCAAGGAGCATTCCCATGATTGCATCGGGAGCCAACAAGCTGACGCTGCAACCACTGTGCACCAGTTTCCCCCTCCTGTTTTATTAGCATGTCATTACGTCCAGCTCTATTTCAGAATCTGGATGAGGACAGCACAAACCTTCTTTCCTGGCTTTTTAAAAATCCTCAGCACATCAATTATGTTGGGTGGTTTAGCAGGGAATTCTTTGCATTTAACTATCTCATTTGCACTCAGCCATACCACCAGAAATCTGTCATTTTAACTGAATAGAAAAAAATCACAATAAGTTCAGATGCCGATAACATCATTAGAATGGCTTTTCAAAGATCCCTTGTCCTACTGACCCATAAACACCAAAAAAACCATATTCCAAATTAGATATTATCAGCTATTTCTACAGTAATTTGAGCAGTCTTGGGGAATCAGTCCAGAAAACAAAAATGTGAGACAAATGCATCATTATTTCAAGGATAAAGCAAGAGATTTAAGCCATTGTTCATCTATCAACTAAGAAAGGACAAAGTCCAGTGCTTGAAGTGTTCTTGAGTGCTAAAATTATATTACATATGAAAGTATGACATTTCTGGATTTCAGTGCCCCATATTAGTCTCAGAAAATTAAGTACCTTATTTCAAAGAGCACATGGATTAAATGCCATTGTGAATTGAGGTCACAGTTCAGTTTCCACACGTTTGATTTTCACCTTCTAACACTGCACACAGTGCCCTCACCAATAAAAGCCATATATGTTTTGCCCAGTAATTTACTAGTTCATTCCAGGAATTTTTGGAAAGAAAAGGAAGAAAATGGTAACATCTACGTAGAAACATTTTGAGCAACTATCTCATGTTCTCAGCAGCTCCTGATTCTATGACAATTCTTTGTGCCACTGATATTGCCAATTTTTTACAGTGTCTGAATCCAATTCCACTGCATTTTCTCAACTGCTGATATTGAATTATTATTCTGAATGAGAAAGTTAACACTGCTGCTGGGAGAAGGATAGCCGTGCTGTTAATGCTCAGAACTGGAAGCCGAGAGTTTTGACTTTTCATGGCAAAGCTCATCTGAAATGTCCTTCAGATCTATGAGCTCATTTGCACAGATCCAGCTCCCCAGTATCAAATAAGGTTGGGAAACATTAATTTCTAGAGGCCTAATTCTGGTATTTGAGATCCTCAGACACACTGTACAACCAAATCTCATGTTATTTCTAGGTCAGGTGAATATCTGGTTGGCACGATTTGTGTCAAATTTAATCATTTTTTAACTATAATCATTTTTTAACTATTTTTAACTGGCAAATGCTTGGGTGTATTGCA